GATGATGCTGAACAGGCATGAAAGAATGGTGATAATGACGATGGTGATGACGACTGTGCTGATGATCATGACGATATTGATGACGATGATGATGATGATGATGATGATGATGATGATGATGATGATGATGATGATGATGATGATGATGCTGATTATGATGATGATGGTGATGATGATGATGATGATGGTGATTATCACGATGAACATGCTGCTCATGATAAGGATGATGATGATGATGATGAATCTGACGATGCTGATGCTGATACTGATGATACTGCTGTTGATGCTGATGATGATGACGATGACGATGCTGATGATGATGGTGATGATGAGGATGAGACCGACGACGACGATGAGAATGATGATGAGGTTGTTGATGCCGATGCTGAAGATGCTGATCATCAGGACGATGATGAGGAGGATGATAATGCGAACGCTGCTGCTGATGATGATGATGATGCTGATAGTGATGATGATGATGATACTGATGCTGATGATGCTGATGATGATGCTGATGGTGGCGGTGGTGGTGATGAGGAGGAGGAGCAGGAGAAGGAGCAGGGGGAGGAGCAGGAGGAGGATGAGGAGGTGTGGGAAGGGGAAGACGAGGAGACGGAGGATGCGGAGAAGGAGGACGAGGAGGGGGATGAGGAGGTTGGTGATGATGATGATGATGATGATGATGATGATGATGATGATGATGGACATCATCATCATCATGTTCATCATGATGACGGCGACGACGGCGACTACGACTATGATGATGTTGAGGAGGAGGATGGTGATGATGATGATGGTGACGACGATGATGATGATGATGATGATGATGATGATGATGAGCATGATCAGATGACAATGACGACGACGATGGCGGTGAGGATTGCGAGCATGATGATGATCATTATGATATTGATGACGATGATGATGACTATCATGGTGATCATGATGCTCATGATGACTATGATGATGATGCTTATGATGATGATGATGATGATGATGACGATGATAATGGTGATGAGTGACGATGGTGATGGTGATGATGATCATGATGAGAATGAGGACGAGGATGAGGATGAGGATGTTGATGACGATGGTGCTGCTACTGCTGCTGATGATTGTGACGAGCAGGCGGATAATCATGTCGATGATGATGATGAAGCTGACGATGATGATGCTGATAATGATGATACTGTTGTTGTTGAAGCTGATGATGATGATGATGGCGATGCTGCTGATGATCATGGTGATCATGATGATGAGGACAGTGATGGTGATGATGATGATTATGATGCTGATGATGACAACGAGGTGGAGCGGGGGGAGGAGGTCGAGGAGGAGAAGGAGGAGGAGGAACAGGAGGAGGAGGATGATGGTGGTGATGATGATACTGATGATGATGATGATGCTGATGATGATGATGATGACGTTGATGCTGATGATGATGATGATGATGATGATGATGATGATGACGATGATGATGATGATGATGATGCTGATCATGATGACGGCGACGTCGTCGACGACGACGATGCTGATGATGAGTATGATAATGATGACAAAGAAGACAATGAGGATTGCGATGAGGATGAAGATGCTGATGATGCTGACCATCATGACGCTACTGATGACGATGATGATTTTGATTATCACATTGACCATGATGGTGATGGTACTGATGATGATGATGATGATGATGATGATGATGATGCTGATGACGCTGATGACGCTGATGATGTCGATGGTGATGATGAGGATGATAATAACGATGCGGATGAGGATGTTGATAATGCTGCTGCTGCTGATTTTGAGGAGGAGGAGGATCATACTCATAACGATGATGATGGTGATGATGATGATGGTGATGATGGAGATAATGACGATGACGATGAGGAGGAGGAGGATGGGGAGGAGGAGGAGGAGGAGAAGCAGGGGGAGGAGGAGGAAGAGGAGTAGGAGAAGGATGATGAGGAGGAGCAGGAGGATGTTGATGATAATGAATATGATGATGATGCTGATGATGATGATGCTCATGATCATGGGCATGCTGATGGCGACGTCAACGGCGACGTTGACGACGACGACGGCGATGATGATGTTGATAATGCATGACAGAATGGTGATAATGACGATGGTGATGACGACTGTGCTGATGATCATTATGATACTGATGACGATGCTGTTGATGATGCTTATCACGATGAACATGCTGCTCATGATAAGGATGATGATGATGATGATGAAGCTGACGATGATGATGCTGATAATAATGATACTGTTGTTGTTGATGCTGGTGATGACGATGGCGATGCTGATGATGATGGTGATGCTGAGGATGATACTGACGACGAGGATGACAATGATGATGATGTTGGTGATGACGATGCTGAAGATGGTGATCATCAGGAGGATGATGAGGATGATAATAAGAACGATGCTGCTGCTGCTGCTGATGATGATCATAATGATGATGATAGTGCTGATGATGATACTGATGATGCTGATGATGATGATGGTGATGATGATGATGATGCTGATGATGATGATGGTAGTGGTGGGGATGAGGAGGAGAAGCAGGAGAAGGAGCAGGAGGAGGAGGAGAAGGAGGAGGAGAGCAGGAAGAGGAGGACGAGGACCAGAGGGAGGATAATAATGATGATAATGCCGATGACGATGACGATGGTGCTGATGATCATGATGATATTGATGTCGATGATGCCTGATGATGCTGTTGATGATGATGATGATGCTGATGTTGATGAGGATGCTGATGATGATGCTGACGATGACGATGATGATGCTGAGGATGATGATGGTTATTATCACGATGCACACGCTGCTCATGATAAGGATGATGAAGCTGACGATGATGATGCTGGTACTGATGATAGTGTTGATGACGATGTCGATGACGATGACGATGTCGATGATGATGAAGATGAAGAGGATGATAATGACGACGAGGATGAGAATGATGATGAGGTCGTTGATGACGATACTGGTGATGTCGATCATCAGGGGGATGATGAAGAGGATGATAATAAGAACGATGCTGCTGATGATGATAACAAGAACGATGCTGCTGATGATGATGATGAGGATAAGGATGAGGATGAGGATGATGATGAGGATGAGGATGATGATGATGATGCTGATGATGATGATGATGATGATGATGATGACGATGATGATGATGATGATGATGATGGTGGTGGTGGTGGTG